TCGGTCTGTTGGTCGTCGATGTGAAGTAGTCAGGCAAGTCATAAGTGGCTCCAATTGCCAGTCATCGCCAAACCGGCTCCTGTTCCTGCGTACTCCATTTTCCTCACTACTTCCGCTAATTCGGACTGACCAGCGATCGACGAAATGACAGTGACCTTCGACTCTTGCTTCGCTCCACCCTCTTTCCATTTCGTTTCGTTTCGGGTTATTCAACGCATTCACCAACGGCCCTCGTCCCTCCGCAGCGCGTTTACCATTTCTCGAAACGCTTTCTTATAGTGGCTGATTTTCAGGTGTCAAGCAGTTTCTCTTTCAGCGTCGTCTGTCCAACGGGTGAAACGATGGTGCCAGGTAACGGTTCATGTCTGCTACTGCGAGGTGTCGTGCTGGTTGTTGTGGTGCGCGGTTTGTGACCAAGTGTGTGCTTTACTCTTAACCTATTTTCGCTGTTCCTTTCCATCGCCAACATAATCCGTGACGTTTATTTCCTACAACTATTTAATTTCCGTAATTTGGCAAGCTGTTCAATGTTTCGGTTCGGATTACACAGATGCGCACTCATCAGAGAACTTTAAGCGAGGATCCTGTTTTTAATCCTGTGTTGTTGTGATAAGATCCCTGAGAATGAATCTAGATTAATCCAAACCGCGTGATAATTCACAGAAAGCAGCAATTGCGAGGAGTAAGCTCACTGTATATTAGTAATAAAATACTAAGTAATATTTGGTTAATAATATGTTCCTTAAACTGTCTAAAACTACCTTTCACCATGCGTTTGGACGTAACCCGCGCGGCGGGTCTCGGTTAATGCGCTCAACCTTTTATATATGGATTACATGAGCACTAGACGGTGTAGAAATTAATTTCTCTCTCACAAATCAATTTACAAACTCATCGATCTGTGCACCCTTGGGAATCGAGTGTGTCGACTTTATTGCGTGCGACGGAAAATCGTAATCAGAACTATTGCGTTAAACGTTCGTATATTATCCGGCGTATTACCTCAAGGCATAGGGTTTTATGAGATTATTCATATTGGTATTTTCCAGCCGTAAGCTAATTGTTCAAGATGAAAATGTCCTCTTTGTACGATTGTGATTTTGAAATATTTTGGCCAGGGGTAATCCATTTAAATTTATAAATAAATGTTGCTACCTAATACATGCAACATTGTGATAAAAAGGACCGTTTTCAAATCGATGTAACAGTTCCCTTCAGCTCCAGGAACCTTCTGCTGTAGAAAACCCGGAGATCAGCGGACATCTGGTACTTTGCTCATGCAGAGCCAAACTTACAGAAACTTTTATTATCAAAATTAAGGTCTTGTTCGTATAAATCTTTCATCTACACCAAACGTATTTCTTGTACTCTAGTTATTTCACGACATTTATTTTTAATCGCGGAAGTAATGCAAAAACCTGAATGGGTCTCTATGGGTGAATCCGTATTAAATGCGAATTAATTAAAGCACGTAGAACAACTTTCTGGATTAGCATCGTGAAGAAAGTAAAATTGTAAAGGTAGTATGTCTCAGATAATGGAGTCATGAGAATATAACCATAACTTAATCTTCTTCATTTTTCATAGTCGCTTTTCTTATTAGATCTCCAAGGAAGATGCATCAGACGGCGCTTCTAATCTTCCCAATTATGTATCAGAATCTGTGCTTTGGCACAAAACAACAGGAGTCAAGAGTAAACTTCCTTCCATATATTAATCTTGACCGTCTCTTAGGCCTTCTACAGGTCAGCTAGGCAAGAAACACTTCCTTAACCTCTCTTTCTAGAGACATTCGCAAAATGCGCTAAAAAGATAGCAGCTGTAACTACTCGGTCTAAAGAACTATCGGCTATGCACCTAGGGTCTCCCTGATTTCTCTACTACGGACAATGTTGAGACACGTAAGGCCAACGACTCCTATAAAAGATCCGATTTCAGCCTCTTCTACCCGTAGGTGCACATGGGGATGAAGATCGACTTGAATACCGAGAGCTTCAAACTCAGTTCTTCTGTGGTCAGAGTGGTTCGGGCAAATTCACGTTGAATGTCACTGGCTACTGGAATTCGCCGGTCGATCTTTTCCTCAAATCTTCCATCACTAGTAAATACAATTCCGAGGTACTTGAACTTCTCCACTTCCTCCACTGGGCAGGAGAACGAGAAAGCACTAGGCTTTTCGTTTTAGCTGCGTTCACACGCATGCCGGTCACGTCACGCTCGGCTGCGAACTTTTCTAAGGAGCACTGGAGATCAGTTTCAGAAGATGCCAATAAAACAAGGTCGTCTGCAAACAGCAACC